TGAAAACTATTGAACAATAATATACACAATATCTTAGTGTGTAGGAATTAAACAACCAAAGGTTAATGTATGGATATGTCAACAACGAGGTGAGGTATATAGCAATGTAAGGGCAAAGCAAAAGTCAACTGCACACTCTTTTTAGGAGCAGACCATGGTTATTAATGCGCCCAACTCCCAACTCTATGCATGTTTCAACAATGAGGGGTAAGCAAAGGAAGAAAATCAACGACACCATTTTTTTCCGAAGCTGCCAGCTGTTGTGGTCAGACTTCAAAGGAATTTATAAAGTTTAACTGAACAATAATCGAGTTGTTGTGTGTCGTCTAGATGAATAATTATTGCATTCATGAGTGACCGCTGAACTCAACACAGTTTGCTCGGAGATATCAACGACTGTTGAACCAGTACATATTATAGTAGAGGAGGGAAGTACTGTAAAATATTGGCGCACTATTAAATTTAGCGAATTTGGCGTTTGGAAATAAATCACTAAAATTAATGGTCCGCCAAATTTTTTTATACGAGAGGTCAAAGTTAACCACAACTTACAAAACGCTAATATTAATGGCCGCCAAAAATGTGGAGTCTGAGTGAACCGCTGAATATAATGGCCGCCAATATTTCAGGCTTTACAGTAATATGATACATCTCAGGAACTGCTAGCGACTGATGCTGGGTGACCGAAATGAATAAAACACAATGTATTATTGTTCACCGTTGATCATACCTGAAAATGCATCATTGGATCACATGCAGTGGATTAATAAGCAGAGCAACAAGAGCCACCCATAGATAATTAAGTTTCAAAACCAGCAAGATCTTAGATCACAAGGATAACTTTACATCGCTTTCACAGATGGACAAGCAAGAAGTACCACCAGACATCATTTCCAAAAGATAGGTAAAAAGTAGACACAAAACTAATATTTAAATATAGGTTAGATGCGGAGCCGAGGTGACTACGCGTGGTAGAGTGCCGAGGGCTCCCGAGCTGTCGGCGTCCCGAGCGCAGCGAGGGCGCTACTAGGGAGCCCGAGGCACTCTACCGCGCGTAGTTACCGTGGCGACGCGTCTAACCAGTTTAGATCCATTCAAACTGTTTGCGAAGATATGGCAGCGCCAGGCGAGCTGTTACTATCTTGTCTAGACCAGGAAGACTCCGAGAAGGAACTCGACATACTCATGCTCGCCGCGAGCCAATCCTCGAACGCTCTGGAAAGATACGTGCGCGTAGAGTGGGCGGAGCCCTTTTCCGCGAAGCGCGGCGGACGACGAGGGAATGCTGTAGCTTTAGCCTACCGTTTCTGGCTCGCCGCTGGTAGCTGAAACCTCGCTCGAGTCTCTTACCTATCACGTCTTCACGCTCGCTCCCCAATAGATCCCGTCGTCCGGGGCAGCGGGATCTACGGAAAATAGATCCCGCGTTTGGACCAATGAAATTGCGCGATTTCAAATATCTGTGTGTACTTACGCAACGAGGACATCATGTCCCACTAAGCAATGATTCAACTGTTAAGTTGATTTAATGTCACATACATAGATGTTGTCTCTCCTGGTGAACTCTTATTGCTGTAATGTGTAGGGAGGCAGGTGGTGGCAGACAGGAGATGACCCGTGGCAGGTACTGGCCTGCTGCATGGAGCTGACGTCTGCCGTGAGATCAGGAGACCCTCCCAGCTTCATCTCCCACCTCCCTGTTCATCAGGTCTCTTCCTTATTCTCCACTCACTCCACCACTCACTGCACTCTCTCTGTGTGTGTGTGTGTGTGTGGCTCTGTCTTTCACATAGCCTATAACTTCCTCTGATCGGAATATTTACTGTAATGCAGCATTTGTTGCATGCTAATGCATGTGCAGACACCCAAACATTCTCCCTAGATAACCTGTAGAGACTGTCTCAGGGTGATTGTGTATACACAAGCTACTTAGTTTCAGAATGGCTAAAATGTGTGTATATGCAGTCGCCCAAACTACTTCCCTGAGTGTGTAAGGGTGACTATGTATACACGAGATAGTTTGTTTGCTGTAATGGTTCAACTGTGTTTCATGGCAGGATGGCTCATGCAATGGTCTGCAGCACTACGCAGCTCTGGGCAGGGACTGGCTGGGGGCCAAACAGGTGAACCTGGTACCTGGGGATAGGCCTCAAGACCCTTATGCCGGAGTTGCTGCCATGGTACAGACACAACCACCTCTTCATGCATTTTGAGATGGGGTGTTACTTTGTTGAACAAATCTCCAACCGCAATGATTGTCTGTGTGTTAGGTGGAGGAGCAAAGAGCCAAAGATGCAGCAGAGGGACATGAAATTGCCATCAACCTGGAGGGGAAGATTAGTCGAAAGGTGGGTAGTGAGTGTATGTAGAAAGAGTCGGACATTACAGACTGGTGTTTCTATCTTCTGTTGAAGGTGGTAAAGCAGACAGTGATGACAGTAGTGTATGGAGTGACATGGGTGGGAGGACGTCTTCAGATTGCTGTGAGCTATACGTAATACTTTGCAAAGTCATAATTGTGTCAAAACTAGGGACTAGGTCCAGATAATGCTTAGCGTTGCCTTTACCCCATGATGTGATTGTACTGTGTAGTGTGTATTTACGTTCCTCTCACAGAAGCAGTTGAGAGGGAGTATACCGGATGACCAGCTGTGGGACTGCTCGGCATACGTGGTGGGAGAAGTCTTCAGAGCTCTCAGACAGTCCTTTGCCAAGGCCAGAGGGATCCAGGTGAACTCACTTGTACCACTCAAGTACACAACAAAACAAATCCTGTACTTATGAAAGATTGGCTTTTTGATTTGTTTCACACCATAACCTTAGCCATTAATATGCTGTCTACCTGTTTATATGTATGTGTTGCAAACACACAGACACACAAATCTATCAGTGTAACCCTTGTTGCACATTTGGATTTATTCTCAATGTGTGTGTGTAGTTCAGGGTAAATGGGACCAATATTACCACCAGTATTATATAACATTCGTGTCTGTGTGTTTGTGCATACTGTCTGTGTGTACAGGACTGGCTGTCAGCTAGTGCCAGGAAGGTGTCCCTGGCCCAGAGACCAATGGAGTGGGTCACTCCTCTAGGACTCCCTGTGGTCCAGCCCTACCACAAGATGTACCAAAAGAGTGTGAGTCTCCAATCCAACTAACTACTCTTTGTGTGTCCTTGTGTCCTTGTCTGCATCGTGTGCATGAAATATGAGGTTTGTGTGCACATTATGATTGTGTGATTTGACACAAGGCCATGCCGTGTGTAGAGTGTCTAGCATTGCTCAATATAATGGCACTACTCAGCAGCACTTTGTTACATGACATGGGGGTGCATCAGCAAATTGACCATTATTAATGTTCAATTATCTCATGCAGTAATATGCTGAGTGTATACGTACGTAGTACGTATCTCTCACAACGGCAATTATTAAGGGTCCTACATAATACACTGGTCACTTCTGATATACTGTTCTGCAGGTGAGCACTCAGCTCCAGGGTCTCAACATGAGGGTGGCCTGGAACCCCAGCTACCCTCCCGACACCAGGAAACAGAAGAACGCCATGCCCCCCAACTTTGTCCACTCTCTGGACTCCACCCACATGATGCTCACTGCACTCCATGCACACAGGTCTCCACCCACTCCTGTAGAATCTATCCTATGAAGGCAGGCATGATGTGTATGAGGCATGATGTGTATGGGGCGCTACCCTTTATTTGCTCTTGGAATTCTGGGATTTAATGAAGATTTACTCTCCAGATGTTTTGAATACGTATATAGTGCTTCCAGGTGCAATCCTGTGTGACAACGAAATGTGACACACATAAATAGAAATAGCACCCCAATCATTTTGACATGGCAATAATGCTATGCTGTGTGTAGGGCCGGGATATCCTTTGTTGCAGTTCACGACAGCTACTGGACCCACGCCTGTTTTGTTGACACCATGAATAGGGTGAGGGTCTATAGAACTATGGGAGACTCATTGTAACACTTGCTATGGGAAATATTTCCAAATTCTGACTCTGGAATGTTAAATGAGGGTTATATAATTCACGGTTTTCCCCGACTGTTGGGTGGAAGCGTTATCATTATTTTTGCTTCAATGTTTTATGCATGCACGAAAAATTTTTGCGAACAAAGCTAGCCTGTTTTGTGTAGTCGTCTGAATGTGCTGTTTTTCCATTATAAATCTGTCGCACATAATGGACTATTCTGAAATTTTTGCCCCATTGGAAACACTGCATCTGTGTGACTCTTGTGTTTTCCTTTGCCAAACTTGTTGCATTAGTTCTAGTTCCACCTCTATTGCTATCTATCTGTTGTGACATACAGATATGTCGAGAGCAGTTTGTGACTCTCCACAATGAGCCCATTCTGTCAGACCTGGCTCAGTTCCTGGAGCACAAGTTTGGAGACCTCACGTGAGACACAGACCGAATATGTAACTGATGTGATGAGGGTTTACGAAACAAAATATCTTAAAGCTTTGAAAAGTTCGGTATTGAGAGCACTATGAGCCTTTACATTTGAATCCCTCCTTCCTTATACCTCTCTATGAGCACTGCCTGCTGAAGGGATGGCATGGTCAGGTCCTTGAAGTCACAAAAATGCGCAAAAATTCAAATGTGGGTGCTCTGATTTTAGCTGAAACAACGGTTTCTCTGCTTGCAATTATGTGCATGAAGGTATTAGACCATGTGGTGGAGCTCTGGACAGCTGTTTGGGCTTGTTGGCCCTCATCAGCAGACTTCTCTCTCTGGGCCACGAGTTTATAAAGGCTACCAGGAGAACATCACTTGTGGTTCTGAACTAATGAGATTCATCCCCACAAGGCTTTGCCACTGGTATGTGCTGACCATGCCCAGACATTCGTGGTTTGGAGCCTAGGCCAATCCTGCTGGTCAAGGAGCCAAAACCGAACTCAGCAATCTGGCATGCATTGGGCCACGGCACGCATACACAAGGTGTGTTCCCTTGCAAAATTCCTGGTCCTCTTGATTATATACCGCTACATCGATTTCTTCCGACTTCCACTTTGTATAATGCTAACTCCCTGCAGGTACAGAGACAACTCGCTAGAGAAGAGGAAGAGGATTCAGAAATGCATATTCAGAGATCCTTTTCCTACAATTGGTGTGTCCAAATTTCGTTATGCTCTCTTTCTTTAACTGTCCACATTATTCAAACAACTCAGGTGATTTGGATCTAAATCAAGTGTTAGACTCTACTTACTTCTTCAGTTGACAGTCATTTCATGTTCCTCATACTCATAGTTTTCATCCCACACATCAACAGGAAAATGGCTATGCAAATACACGTGAATTTCTAGTTCTATTTCTGACTGCTTTTGTTAATGTTTTAGTCTACACAGCAACTAATGTTCAGGCCAGTGGCTCTATACTACGCACTGCCAAAATCGCTAAGCTAAAACTAAAAATTAGTTAGCTTTTTAGTGTATTCAGTTACATCGCAGTGGATGCAGTGGCAACATTTCGAGACAGAGGTAGTTTAGCAGCAGTTTGCTTCAGAGGCTGATTAATCACTTCATATTCTGGTTCCTCCCTTCTTCTTGCTGGTACCACTCCATAGGCTGTGTTACTGTGGGTCTCCACCTTCTTACTGTATGCTGATCTGTAAACACGGCAAGGGGTATTGTTTACCTAGCTAAACAAACAACAAACCACGTTACGCTCTGCGAAAAAACAATAATACCTATTGCAGATGCCAAATATGGCAATGGGGAGACAGACAAGGATCTGGCAGAGTATTATTCCTCCACCCACACTTCCAGCTATTACTGCAGTGCTCTCAGTACATGGCTCCTTGTCAACATCTGAGATGTACAGAAAGTCTTATAGCCATTATAGTGTTTGGATCAAACTCACCTTTAGTACAGGAGCATGTTTCACTGACAGGAGTACAAGTGACCATATTGGTTGTGAGAGTGACTGTTTTAGTACATGGCTCCATATCTGAGGTACAAAAGCCTGATATATAGACATTGAGTTTCTTTTGATCATCTCACCTTTTGCAAATGTGCACATTTGACTGACTGGAGAGGCAATGACCATATCACTGGTCGGGGTGATTGTTGGGGCAGTAGTGATAGTGGTGCCAGTAACTACCGTTGTAGTGACAGTAACAGTAGTAGTGTAGCAGTTGTAGTTGGGGTAATAGGGACTTGAGAATTAGTGCTAGACTCGGTGATGGATGTAGTTGTCTTTCGGCCAGCCACAGTGGCTTTAAGTGCAGTGACAGAAGATGTAGGCACCATACTAGCTATAATAACATAGTTAAGTGGTGGGGCAACAAGGTATCAGTGTTTCACCTCTGCTGGTGGTGAAGGGTCTAATGAGACTAGTAGTTGTAGAACTTGTAGCAGTGTTAGTAACAGAAATAGTGACAGGACTGGAAACCATTGCTGCAACTAATAGTGTGGTTATGTGAGCAGGTGGCTGGAAGGATAGGTAAGTGACTCACCTTGAATGACAGTGATAGGTCCAACCAGAGGACTGGGTAGGTGAGGTGACAGAGCCACTATGGAGATGTAGTAGGTGACTCCTCTCTGAAGACCATCCAGTGAGTGTGTGTCTGTCTCTCCTCCAGACACCCTGTCACTGATGACTGGTCCTCCCTTGGGCTGGTAGTAGATGACATAGCCAGTGACAGGATCACCTGGTGACTCCCAAGACACAGTGATATTGACATGTGTACTGTTGGACCCAGAGATGACTGCAGTAACACCGGTGGGCTCTCCTGCCACTAAAAATGAAAAGCACTAAAGTGCAAACCCTCGGCGAACTGCGCATGCGCGGTACCACTAATTGATGGGCTGGGCTTTCTTTTCTTTACTCGTTGTATCGCGCTAGTAGCTCGCGGAGAGTCTGGCACGGGCTAGCTACAGTAGTAGATTGCATGTGGGAGTCGATACATGCCCTTCGTTGTGACTTCTTGTGCCTTCAAGATACACAGAGCGCGCGGACGCAGTCGAGGTAAGCCGGTGCTAATTACCAATTGGCTTGTTCACTTGGTTTTCACGCCATAACTTTAGAACGCAGTAGTTTTACGAAAATCGCCTTTTTTAAAATCAACCCAGTGTAGCACTGAACCCGATCATATCGCTATTTACCTGATTTCGTGCGCGCGGTGGCAGAAAACGTGGTAACAGACAGAATGACAGACTGACAGACTGACACACTTACGAAACAACTACCGTACCCTCGCTGCGCATGCGCGCCGAGGGTTAATAAGTGCATAAAAATAATAATGCACCTGCATAAAATAATGAAAAGCACTGAAGTGCAAACCCTCGGCGCATTGTGACGCGCACGCGTAAGTAAACGCATGCGCCGTACCACTAATTGATGGGCTGGGTTTAGTTTTAGCTGTTACTCGTGGCCTCTTCCCAGCTCGCGCAGAGTCTGACGCGGGCTAACTACACTACTAGATAGCATGCGAGAGGCGATACACGCCCTGCGTTGCATCTTCTGGTGCCTCTGAGGTACGCAGAGCACGCGGATCGATCAGACCGTGGTAAGCCGTCCCGTCCGTTGCCTATTTGCATATTAGCTTTTTCGCGCTCTAGCTCTGCAACGGAGCAGTTTCAGAGAAAACCCCACATATTTTCTGACCTTCATTGCCCGTTCAGTAGGTGGTATCCTTTGTGAGACGAACGAACACTCGAGAAGTGAGATGACGAGTAACAGACAGACACACACACACACACACACAGACAGACAGACAAACCCAACTACCGTAACCCTCGCTGCGCATGCGCGCCGAGGGTTAATTATGTAGCTATACATGTACCTGCAATTCTCTTTGTGCCATTGACTTCAGTAATGGATGCCTCAGGATGATAGTCTCTAATATTGTTTCTAATGGTACAGTTGTAGGTCCCATTTCTTCTTCCTCTCACTCTCAATCTGTTGTCATAGACAGAGTTGAGAGATGTGTCCAGTATGAGCTGACTGGTCTCATGATATCTGTCTTCCTGTACTGGGACTCCATTTACTGTCCACTGGACAGTTGTGGCAGGTCCTCCATGAGTACGGCAGGAGATAGTGAATTCAGGAAGACTTGCTCTGAGCTCAGTGTGTAGAGTGAAGTTCATAGATACCAAACTGTTTAGTTGTCCTGTGAGAATATATGAGAGAAGGCAAGCCGAGAAAGTCATGCAACATACCATATGATCTTTTATTGCTGATGTAGATGTAGAGGCTCTGCATCTCTCCACTGGAATCAGGTATATCACATCTCCACAGTCCTGGTGTGTGGTCACTACAATTGCGTTGTAGACTGATCACTCCATCTCCTCTAGTGACATACAGACAAGTGGTCCCATCTGCTCCCTGGTAGACTAGTCTCCCACTCTCATCTCTCCAGCCACCAACATCAGAGTTATTGCAGCAGTTTACACTGTCAGTCACACAGTTTAAAGTACGATCTCCATGATGACCAATATCATTAAACAAGATGAAGGAATTGTTGTACAGATCAAGTCCAAGGTGCTCAAATTGAGGCAGTGACTGGCCATGGCAGCTCAGAACTAACAGTAAAGTTATGGCCGTGACAAGTACACTTTCTAGTGACATCTTATCTTCTCAAAAACTGTGTGCTGATGAGGCTCTAGAGTCAGCATTACTAACTTTACATAAGACCCCAAATCAACATTGGAAAATGACTGTGCACCAAACAGCAATATTTCAAAGATAAGAGCCCTTTATGTACACCTGTGTAGCTATGTAGCACACTGTTTATCAGTTAACTGACATTAGAAACAGAATGCTGTGCCCCTCTGACCTCTTCTCTTATTACATTCCACCCACCCACCCACTGCCCTCAATGCTCACAGGTCTCTAGCAGCATTCAAAGAAAACAAGGGGAAGGCGACCATCTCTGTTACCACCACAGATAGCAACTTTGTCCTCTGTGAGTTTTTTTTAGCACACTACTGGGAGGCTTATGTAGGCACTTAATGTGATGTGCACAGATATTTATTATTGTAGAGAGGTTGATCATGTTGTCATAGCTGTATGATAAAAATACATCCCTGACAGCCTTATTTCTTGTAAGCACATGCTTCTTGAGAACTTCTTGAGAATTATAATATTCTACACAGCAGTACATAATAAGGCCAGTGGCCCTATAAAAACTAGCCAAAATCACTGCTAAGTAAAATTTTTTATGACTACATAATGTTACATTGCAGTGGATGCAGTGGCGACATTTTGAGACAGAGGTAGTTTAGCAGCACTTTCATTCAGAGGCTGATTAATCACATCATACTCTGGTTCCTCCCTTCTTCTTGCTGGTACCATTCCATAGGCTGTGTTACTGTGGGTCTCCACCTTCTTACTGTATGCTGATCTGTCAAGATGGCAAATGCAGGGGGTGTCATTGTTTAGCTAGCTAACAAAAGTTCTGCATACAAAGTCCAACCTAACACAACAAACCATGTTACACTCTGTGATACAAACAAGTATATGCAGGGGGGAGGGGGTGTGTCATTGCCTAACTGGCTAGTTCTGTATATTCAAAGTACAACCTAACACAACAAACCATGTTACACTCTGCCAAAACTTACCTGTTGCAGATGCAAAATATGGCAATGGTGAGGCAGACAAGGATCTGACAGAGTATTATCCCTCCACCCACACCTCCAGCTATTACTGCAGTGCTCTCAGTACATGGGTCTTTGTCAACATCTGAAGAAGAAGAGAAGGTCTGATAGTAATTATGGATAGTTTGGATCAACTCACTTTTACATGCACACATTTCACTGACAGGAGTAGAAGCGACCGTGGTGGCGAGAGTGATTGTTTTAGTACATTGTTCCATATCTGAGAAGTAAAAAAGACTGATAGCCATTGACTTCGTTTGATCGGCTCACCTTTCTCAAATGAGCATGTTTCACTGACTGGAGAGGCAATGACCATATCACTGGTCGGGGTGATTGTTGGGGTGGTAGTGATAGTGGTACCAGTAACTACCGTTGTAGTGACAGTAACAGTAGCAGTTGCGGTAAGAGGTACTTGAGAAGTATAATTTTGTTAGCGTCAACGATGGATGTAGTTGTCTCTTGGCCAGCCACAGTGGATGTAAGTGTGACAGCAGAAGTTAACCCTGTAATAATGGTAACACAGTGTCGAACAATAAGTCATGGGGCAACAAGGTATCAGTGTTTCACCTCTGCTGGTGAAGGGGCTAATGAGACTAGTAGTTGTAATACTTGAAGCAGTGTTAGTAACAGAAATAGTGGCAGTACTGGAAGCGATTGCTGCAACAATAGTGTGGTTATGTGGGTAATGTGAGCATGTAATATAAGCTAACTATTTATGGTTTTTGTACCTTTCAAGAGATATACAGTGATGTCACTGAAGCTGGAGTAACTGGATATTGTAGCAGTGCAGCGGTAAATGATAGTGTTGACTGTGTCATTGTCAGATGTGGTCAGAACACTCAGATAGCCTCTCTCTGGAGATCCAGTTGTTGTGTAAAGAGTGGGCATCAGTTCAGATGGATCAGATGGAGGAGAGATGGCATAGTGGACCCATTTTATGTCCACAGGAATACTCTGTCC